ACTCAACGTTTCGAAGCGTGACATCGATGTCGTCGAGGGTAAACGACGTGTCGGTAACAAATACCAAATGCCCGCCGCCATAAACGAGTCAACGTCTTCTTCCTTTCAATGAGCTGACATCCTCACACACTCAGCTGCTCTCTCTCTCTCTCTCTCTCTCTCTCTCTCTCTCTTCCGCTGTTCAACGATGTAGAAGCACTGAAGCAGAGAGAGAGAGCGCTCGCAGAAGAACGATGGTGACGTCATCTCAGAAGAAAACGCTCCACTCCCTGCTGGCCGCGAAGCTCAGCAGCCTCACAATCCCGCCGTCCTCCGCCCCATCCTCCTCATCCCCACCTCAAGACTTCGACTTTAACGAAATCTTCGGCCCCACAGCCACCACCCCCAACGACTCATCAACCTCCGCCGCCGCCTCATTCCCGCCTCCGCCGCTAGTCATCCACAACCGCTCTCACTCCTTCGTGGGCCCCTCCCCGCGCTTCACTCCCACTCCCTACTCCCTTCCCTTCACCTCCGACTTCCTCGATTCCCAGAGCGATGACGCCGAAGCGGAAACCCCAGTCGGAACCGAGAATCGGAATGGTGGGGAATCAGAGAAGACCGAGCTCGGAGCTCGGAAGTTTGGGCCTGCGGATTTTGAGATGCTGAGAGTTGTGGGTCAGGGCGCGTTTGGGAAGGTCTTTCAAGTGAGAAAGAAGAGCGACGACGACAGTAACGGCGGCGGTGACGGCGGTGATGGGCTTTTTGCCATGAAGGTTATGAGGAAGGACACAATCATAAAGAAGAACCATGTTGATTACATGAAAGCTGAGAGAGATATTCTCACTAAGGTTGTGCACCCCTTCATTGTTCAGCTCCGCTACTCTTTCCAGGTACTACTTTTTAAATTTTCATTTTCTTTTAGTTAATTTTATTGAATTTAATTTGAAAATTGATAGAAAAACTTGCTGGGTTTTCAAATCTCGGTCTTTTTGGCCTCGTTTGGTGTCTCGGATTGGATTGAATAACTCGTATATTGAAGGAAGAAATGGATGCAACTTCCATATTTTGTCCCAGCTTATTGTAATAGATGTATTACTTGTTAAGGAAACTTATCCCTTCGAATCCCGAACAAATGGTAGAATTGTAAGGGAACCTATATCAAATCTAGTGAGTTGTCTAAGCGATCGAATGGACACCAAAGGAGGCCTTTGTGTACCAAAGATCCTGTCTTTACTTTCCTTTCGAAATTAGATGTTAGAAAATTTGTGTGACTGTCTTTTGATTGCTTACCCTGTGAACCATTTTATGTGAATTTCGTTTTGGATACTTGTAGGCTCTTAAGATTGTGTATGTTTTGTATTGACTTTGCAGACCAACTCTAAGCTTTATTTGATCATGGATTTTATAAACGGAGGGCATCTCTTCTTTCATCTATACCGGCAGGGAATCTTCAGGTAATTTGTTTGAATTGCTTGAAAATTGCTTATACTCTCGCTTTATGTTTTCGTATGTTTTGATTTCAACTTTCTTGGATGTTTGTTGAGTAGCGAGGATCAGGCGAGATTTTATACTGCTGAGATAGTGTCTGCTGTTGCACATCTTCACAAGTGCGGGATTGTCCATCGGGACCTTAAACCTGAAAATGTTCTTGTGGATTCTGATGGGCATGTAATGGCCATGCTTATTTACTTACTCTTGTCGTAGGAACATGCATCGTATTCAGATATCCTTTTCTTGCTCAGACATCGACTTTTCCTCAAATTGGTACCTGTGATGCAGGTCATGCTAACTGATTTTGGGCTAGCAAAGGAAATTGACGAAGCCAGCAGATCGAATTCAATGTGTGGCACCACAGAGTACATGGCTCCAGAAATTTTGCTGTCTAAAGGCCACAACAAAGATGCGGATTGGTGGAGCATCGGTATCCTTTTGTATGAGATGCTAAAGGGGCAGGTAAACTTGTAATTTCCCTACCAGATAGCTTGACGTTGAATATCAACGTTGGTAAGCAACGTTGACATTCAAAATTGTGTCGTTTCATGGGTATGTTTATCGACAAACTAGAAGCTTGTCGAACTCTTGTCCGCCTGCTCAAAATTTGGTTTGCCGCTTTACTGCAGCCACCATTTACACACGCCAACAGAAAGAAACTTCAGGAGAGAATCATCAAGGAGAAAGTTAAACTCCCGTCGTATCTGACCAGCGAAGCTCACTCTCTGCTGAAAGGAGTAAGTACATGCTTCCATATGATATTTTCTCCCTTTTCATTTCCATTTTGTCAGATGAACAACTAGGAACAAGGGAATATTTCTCCGTCATTTTGCAGTTGCTACAAAAGGATCCGTCACAGAGGTTAGGTAACGGGCCGAATGGAGGGGATAACGTCAAAAGCCATAAATGGTTTCGATCAATCAACTGGAAGAAGTTGGAGGCCAGAGAAGTGCTCCCAAAGTTCAAACCAGATGTGAGCGGAAAAGACTGCACAGCCAACTTTGACCGGTGCTGGACTACAATGCCTCTGGAAGACTCACCCGCTCCTACACCAACTGCGGGTGAGCATTTCCAGGGGTACACTTACGTGGCACCTAACCCGTGGCTTTCGTCGATATAAATTAAACTGAAGGCTCAGCTCGAAAGCAGAAAATTGGAAGAGTGAAAGAACAGGAAGGAAAACTAGATGAAGTGAAGATCATCTTCCAAATTGTTCTCCATGTAACGGTGAAAGTTTGAATTTGGAGTATGTTTTAACACATGCACATTTTGTTCCATTTTCAATTAATAATTTCATGTCCAATTGTATTAACAATCAAAGAGTCTTTATGTTTGTTTGAGGAAAGGAGTGTGGCTTTAATGGAATATGCTCAGAACACGAGGTGGCACAGCTCGTGGCATAATATTAGTGGAGGGAAATGAAAAAAATATAACCTATAGTGGAACATATTAACCATGACATCCATCTATATTATAATACGTAGTGTACTATTTTGTTTTTTAGGTACATAGATATTTCTCAACCCTTGATTTGATATCAAGGGTGGAGAATAAATATTTGTGTTTTTACTATTTTAATTTCAACTCTTGATCTCAAATTTTATGGTGGATGATCATGTATCTTTGTCCCAATGAATCCATTTTTCGACCGGAATATTCACATCCCATTTTTACCTCTCACGCTTGTTAATTTTTTACCATTGATCTTCTTACTACATTTGATCTGAGAGCTAAAAAGTGAGAGGGACGTGTGAAAAGTAGAAATGAGTGTGGCACTACTCTTTTCGACCTAAAAAAACAAGAAAATTTTATTTACCAATATTGTGAATTCATAATGATCATTATCAAAATAATCCTTTGCCACACTTGAAAATGCTTCTTGAAAGGCACTTGCTTTTCAAAAAGCATCAAGAAGTACTTTTAAAATCCAAGAGCACTTTAGCTATTTTCAGCCATCCTAGCTAAAGCTTTCCCTATCCCATTCAAAAAGTGGCGGTGAAGCAACCATTTTTGTGCCTAATTAAACACCCAATCCATCGAGTGCCAAAAGCCGACCAAACTCATAAAAGTTGACACCTTGAAACCCATATAGCCATTCCGTCCACCAATGTCACGTACACGTTTCTATATTATAATGTGCCTACAACAACCATGATCCATTATTGAGGGCCTTGCCACTTTCTGCCCCCAATAACAAAAATAAATTTGTCCATCCACAATAATAAGGATAAAAAATCCTGCCGTGTTTGAAATTTCTTTAATATAGTCGATATTTTTACAGAGAAAGATATGAAATAGGAGTGAAGTCTAAACTTGACCCCATATCGGAGAAACTCTTAAATCTTGGATAAAATTGACAGATTTCGTTGATATCTCTAATATATCGGTTATATATCTACAAACTACCATATGACATGCCTAAAGTTCCATTTTAATTTCCATGTTTTTTAGCAAATTTCCACCATTTCGATCGACGGCAACCCATATCGATATATCCACTTATAATTCCACAAATTTGCATAACAATATTTCTATCGATACCATTTTTTATACTAGCTATAACAGAAATATCCCAAAGCCAATGTGATGGAACGTGACAATGTCCCAAGCCAATGTTAAATTGTTGTATGGAGAAGAAGACCGTGTTGTATCACTGGTCCCTAAAGGCCATCTCCAACCGAATGGTCTAGAGGGCCGGAGGATCGAAAATAACCCAAAAATCATCTCCAATCGAGGGCTAGGCCAAAGGGCTCTTGGGCCCCACGAAACAAAAAGGGCCAAAGGGCCAACCAGTTGGCCTAACCCAGTCAGCCAACCAGCCCATCCCAGGCCGGGCCACAAATTTGAATGCAACGAGCTAGCTAACGTCAACTAGCCGTTATATTTGATTTTTTTTTACAATTTTTTTTTAAATTAAAAATTCTATTTTTTTTTCTTATAACTTCCTAAGCCATTAAATAACATTAAGTAACATGAAACAACATTAAGTTGTTGTAATTTTTAAATTTAAATAATAAATTATGTTTGATCTTATGACCATTTAGCTCTCAGTTGGAGATGATTTTGGTCACAGGGGCTATGTTTGGCCCTATGACCCTTTGACCTTTGGTTGGAGATGGTAAGAAATACGATCTTGCACTGTTCATTAAAATATTAATTTCTTTGAGGGCCAGAGGGTTAAAACGAACCCTCTGCCCTTCCTTCGATTAGAGATAGCCTAATTGCTATACAGAGAAGTTAAGACACCGAAGTTTTAGGACATGTTGTATCACTGGTCCAAAACGCTATGGTGACATGCACATGGGTCCGAAAGGGGTATTTTCTGCAAAAAGAAACCGCTATAATGACCACAACGTGCGTTTCAGTCTCTTCAATCTTATCCCTGATTACTTTTTCTCCGGACCCAAATTGATATTTTCCCCCTCTACGAGGGACACTGGTGAATTTAGACCAGGCCCCAGCAAGGGGGGACCAACACATCAGTAATCCAAATGAAACAAGAAGAAAAGCAAGAATCTGAGAAAGAATAGCAGAAAAACAACACTAACAGGACATAACATTATCTTCAAGGGTCTGTACAACAAACTAAAACAAATTCGGTCACCTAAATTTACCTCGCCTTCTCTCTAAACCCGTTGTCGAATTTTTCCGAGAATTTTCATCTTACCGATTTGCTCTAAATTATAAACCATCCCCACATATCGACACTCTTAGGTGACGCTGATCATGCTATCCCCATTGCTGAATCCTGACATTGTCTGGAAAGCCGAATGCCTTGAGGACGGTTCCCTCGACTCCATTGACAAGGAGAGGTTGAGAGTGAGAGTTGATGGGTCCATTGTTGAGTTCAAGTTTAGATCAGACATTGCAGCGGCATGAGGGGCCGAGTGAAGGGCAGCTGGATGGACGAGCTTAGGCAAGGTACTATTCTCGTGATTTGCTTGTCGTAGAGCTAGATTTTCCGTAGGATTCTCAATGGGAACTGGCAAGGCAGCTGGACCTACAGTCATTGGAAAATCTGGCACCACTGGAAATCCACTGGCGTTGCGAGGGTCGGATAGTGGCGGAGGAGGCAATGGATGCGACTGAGATGCGTTATCTTGAAGATGTACTTGCTCTTCGTCCATTGGAGTTGGAGAGACCTAACACACAAGCAACAGATGTTATCATGATAAGCCAACTTTTTCCTTCCCGTGGTTGTGAGAAAACATCGAAAAGAACTGATTAGACAACCGAAATTTTAACATCCACTCAGCAGGATAACAAATCTACAATCTGACTTTTTGTTCAGCTTTAAAACAATGCTGAAACAATCAAAACACATAGCATTCTTCATCAGATTTGATTTGGGTTTCTTAACGTTCTTGAGCTAGTAAAAGCAATCCGAATCTTGAACAGATATCATCAAAACGTAAATAATCTTACGCTCACTCTCATCGGCTAGGAGATCGCATCAAAATTTCAGAAATTGCATACATATTTCATTCACTAAAGCACTTATAAAACTAGATCCACCAATTCAAATGACTGCAGAACAACTACTTTTAAGATCCATGTAAACATATTAAGCTCCAACAAAATTCAAAATACATGAAATGGATTGAGTTCTATAAGAACCATCGGGAATTTAATTGTTACCGTTTCGGTGGTGATGTCGAAGAGGCTAGATCTGCGGCGCCGGCGATTGTGGTTGTTCCGGCGCAGAAAGTACTTCTGTGCGTGGCTGGCAACCTGAGTCGGGGTGCGAGTCTTCACGAAGTTTCTTGAGATCCCTCTCCAATCTCCTTTCCCTACTTTCTGCAATCCAAGCAAGAAAAGCTTGTGCTCTTCCTCCGTCCATGGAACCCCTGATCACAACAATAAACAATAAATACACATTTTTCCAACCAAAATTAACTAAATTCAAATGAAATTTCTTCTTTTAGCGATATCGAATATGAACAATTCACACAGAAAAGGAGAATTAGCAATTTGATTAATTTAGAACGTGAAAATTTCGCAAAAGATTCATACAAAAGAAAGAGCACATTTTGTAAACAATGACCAAAACATTGTTCAAATTTGTTCCATTTTTTTTATCAACTGAATACAAGAAACATAATTAAGTGAATGATTTAAGGAGTTTTATATAAATGATCGGAGATTATCGAGGAGAGAGAGAGAGAGAGAGAGAGTGACTGACCTCGCTTGCGTTCGCGCTCGCGATTCCCGCCAGAATTGTGGACGACGTCGTTCTCGGAGGCGTAACCGGGCGCCGCGTCATCCTTTCCGGCGGCGGTGCCGTTATTTCCGTTGTTGGAGGCGGCCTCCTGAGGCTGCTCGTACTGCGAGAGATTGTTCAAACTGACGCTCTTCCTCATGGAATCGACCACCACGCGCACGCCGAACAGCATGAATTCTCCGGCGCCCGCGGGCTCGACGGTGGAGCACGTGCCCGACGACATCTTCACCGACCGCGACTACGACGACGTTTCGAATCGATCAGTCTCTATTTCTTACTCGACGACGATGGATCTGAGGCCGTACGATTCGAATGGAGAGAATGATAAAAAAGATTGCAGCGCGAGGGCTGTGCAGGTCGGTTTGTGCATATATATATACGTGGGAGACTACAGGGATGAAGTGGCGCCATGTGGTGGAACGTCGAACGGACGGCGTGTGAAGGCTGTAAAGTTTCGGGATTTGCGTCAGATGCTAACACGTGTTGGAAAGGTATAGAATCCTTCCATGACGATGTGGGTTCAAATCTCGTCAGTAACTAATCTTTAATCTAACAAAATCTATCGTTTGACAAAAAAATAGAGATTTGTTTTATTTTTTAATTAATTGAAAAAACTATATGCATTAAATTCTGAGTAATGCTACAGCTGTTATTTCTATTAATTAATAAAACACTCATTGTCAACCAAAACCTATGAAATGGGCAGTTTAACCTTTTAATTAAAACAGAACATGAATAAGAAATACAGGGCATAAATGTAATTTCACATAACTAAATTTTACTTTTTTTTTCTTCAAAGCCTCACATACATGTAATCATAATATATCTCTAATTAAAAAATTACAAAATTACAAAATTAAAAAATTAAAAAAAAATAACTTCTCACCCCCACATTCTCTATCACTCTCTTCCTCTCTCCTTCTATTTCAAAAACAAAAATAAAAAATTTTCTCATACACTTTGTGTGTGCCTAAATACTAGTATTTTTTATGAAAATTATTATTGATACTCCAAAAAAATTTATTTTCGTTTTGAGTTTTTTTTTTTATCTTTAGAAAGAAAAACACACTTGAAATGAGTGTAAGATGATATTTTTAGAAGTCGACTGGTAGAACAAGGTCCCAGACCTCTCAGCCAACTAGGATGGGACATAAAACGTCTCCAGCCTTGCACATAGTGTTAATAATAGTTCATTTTTTTCATATCACATTTGTACGACCTCTTTAATAGAAATATGATTCACTAACACATGTGAGTTTTATCTCTATTAGAAAGATGGTACAAATATGGTATAAAAAATGTGGTATGACTAACATTTTTGTTAAAACCATTATTTTCCAACATAAGTTAAGGTCGTTTCATGACGTGTTTATTTATAAAAAAAATGGGTATTCGAGTTGGATGGTGCTACATACAATCATACATCAAATTCATGCATTACATTTGTGCTACAAATAATGTGTCGCTTTCTACACCATGTAAATTTTTATTACAATAATTAATCAAATTTCAACTTGAATTAAAGTAAATTTTGATTGGTGACACATTTTTTGGTGCAAAAATTTAATGTGTTTAGTATTATTCATTCGATTTACATGTTTACCTACATGAAATGGATAATCGAGCTATTTTATTTTGATTTCATTTTTCTTAAAGATGACCAACTGATAACTTCGTTACGGTAGTCAACATTATCAAGGATCAAGAAGACTCATAAAGGCATTCGGCTTTCTCATGACCACCATCGTGAAATTCTTCAACGCCCTGAATTAACAAACCAAATTATATGAAAGAAATAGAATTGATTAGCATTTATCCAGCGATGTTAAAATTCCCAAAATGGGAGTTGGTAGAGCAAACAAGATATATGGAATTGGTCAAACTATTAACAAATGTTCGAGATGCTTCCAACACAGAAAGAAACAAAACTTAGTCACATGAAACACGAGGACAGTTGTCCGTCTAAATATTGCCCTTCTAGTAATAAATGCAAGTTCTTAATATTTATGGATACAAGAAACGGATTAAATGAGTTCAAACAATTCAAATAACTAACGGGAGTTTTAACGAAAAATTCACGGTACTGTTCATTTTAACGAAAAATCACATTTTTACACTAAAAAGTCAAACATGCTACTATTCACTTTACCCTTTATTTTGTCCTTATCGTTAAAACTCAAAGTTTTCAAACATTTTTCATTAGTTTTCCTATAACACTATATGCCTTTATCCTTCACTAATTACCATCTCAATCTTCTATCAACGTAACAAAACTCTAGCTACGCCACTTGATATGAGTTAATATTTTTATTATGAGAACTTTAACGAAAAGCACCCGGTACTGTTCACTTTAACGAAAAAACACATTTTTACACTAAAAAGTCAATCCTGTTACTATTGACTTTACTCTTTATTTTGTCCTTATCATTAAAACTCAAAGTTTTCAAGTCATTTTCATTAGTTTTCATTTTTTTTATTGTATTGTCTAAAGATGTGTATATTTTTTATCACGATTTCTCCTAACAATTATGGGAGATATTTTGTTGGACTCGATTATGCACATAGCGAAGGAATGAATCAGTGAGAACAAAAACCAAGAAAGATCATAAAACCAAGCGCCGGGGAGATAGATTTCCGGAGTAGGCACTTCGACGATCAAGTCAGGAAATGATGGAAATAAGTGGAATGGATGACAAGTGAATTGAGAGAGTTCAGAATATCCAACCCTGTATGAGAAGTTGTGATACCCATAGGGGCCGAGAAGCAGTTCTGAGTAATCTGCCAATTCTACAAGTCATTAGAGTAGTTGGAGTCAGTAGCATGCCTCCGTCCACTTAAACGTCTTTGTTGCATGGTTCAGAGGTACTTGCTGAGAATCATAAAGTTTTGAGATCTTATTGTAAAGGCGTGAAGGGCGCCTTACTCACTCCGTGTCGAACCAACGGAGTGAATTCATATATTCACTGTTCCGAAGAAGTGGAAAATATGGTCTCACTATATTATATTCATGCTAATAGATGGAAGGAATGTGGCAACCAAATGTTGCTATTGGTGACAAATTTGTACACAAAGATTCCACATTTCATTGGATTTTTTTTTCCACAATCCAAATCATCCATACCATATGAGTTACCCTAGCTACTAGCTAGCTTGTTTAAAAATAGAAAGAGTTAAAAGCAATAGTCAATGAGACCCACCCAACCACCAACTCATGTTGTCCCTAAAAGAATCAAAAGATGAAGAGCATCCCACATGGTTTATGGCATTTCACAAAATATTTCCTTATCCAGTCACAACCCAACTTGTCATCCAAAACTAGACCCCAAACTAACGCACAACATTAGTATTTTTTTTTTTTAAGAGGCAGTCGAAATGACAAGTGTTTTAACCGTTAAATTTGATTTCAACAGCTGTTTAGATATTTTATTTTCAACCTCAACCATTTATTTGGCGTAGCATTCTATTCTCTAAACTCTTCTCTCTTCAAAACCCTAGCTTTTCGTAATACATGGAAAGGATTGTAGATTTCAATCATAGCGCCTTTGAAACCCTAGCGTCGCGTGTTGTAGTTTGTCTTCTACGGTTTTGCTTATACGATTATGATTATAAAAAATTTAATTTAATGCTCTAAGTGACGGAATATTATTTCAATAATCGGAAGGACAATAGCACCACCCAACGTGACACCCCACTTTCCAAATCTTAAATTAGTTGCAAATTGCAATTAGTTATTGATAAAACCAGCTCAATGCTAATCTTTATGCTTATAGTAGTTATCAATCCATGATTATTTTTGTTATTTATTTTGGATGCATTATAAGTTAAATTATTAAGAGATGCTATATGGACCGTCAGTTCGAATATTCGCTTTTTGTCCACTTAAAAAAAGAGGTAGATTTTATTTCGTTATCCCTTAAGCTCGTACACTTTATTATATATATGCATATGTATACATATACATATATATGCATATGTATACATATACATATATATATATATATATCATACGTCTTGTTGAGTCACTCATTAATGTATTTATACGAAGCGAACATCTATCTTTTAGATCTTTATTTAAAGATCATATTACAAAAAGTCACGCAAATCTGAAATCATATAACTGCTGAATTAAGGGTTTGGGTTTCTTTGTAGAACCGTATTCGTTCATTTTCTTCACTACAAATGAACGTCTTAGTGGTTTTGGATTTGTGTAATTTTTTACAAGATTATCTATGAACGATGTTTTAAAAGATAAACGGATCGAATCATTAAAATACATTAGGAATAAGATCCACAAAATCAATTGTCAAATGTTAAGTAGAAAAAATGATTTCACAAATCCGCGCTATGCATATAATATATAGGTATGTATGTATAGATAAACTAATCACTTTCATGGTGGGGTAATGGTGCTTATGTGAGCAGCCAAGATAACACCAAAGATAAGGTTTTTGTGGGCCTCCATCATGCATTGCTGCGCTCTATCTTCTTCTGGACCTCATTTGATGGTAAAGTTTGATTCCACACATGCACTTAAATGGTGCTCAATGCCCTCCTTATCTATCTACTTTCTATATATGTTTAAGGCAATTTCTGATAACAATTGTCTATGAACATTGCACACCAAATTAATGTGTACTGGATTTGAAGAATTGCCTCTAGCAATTTCGTCAAATACAATTTATGTGTACATATATTTATAAAAAAGAAATCAGGTTGCAGATATTTTAGTTTCATTTAGAGCAGATAGTTATGCTTATTACTGGTGATCTCTGGCTCTAGATTTTGTAGTCCCTACCCATGCTTGTGAGTTTCATTTTATCCTTATTATCGTTTTTTCTTTGAAAGTCTTGGCATAGTCTCTTGCTTGTATTTTTATTTTTATATATTTTTTTTGTTTACTTTCATTATTATCCATAAATTTTGGTGGAGGAGGGACGGGCAGGGGTTTCTGGGTGTAACGGTCCTTACTGCTTCGAGATGGAGTAGGTGCCTCGCCCGCGACCATTGCCGTTTGAAAAAAAAAAAAAAAAAAAAAGCTGATATTCATAGTACAAAAATGTTATTCTTACAATCTAGTTGTACCATCATTTGTCTTATCTCTGTAATAGAGATGAGCCCCACATGCGTTGGTAGATCTTATCTCTATTAGAAAAATAGTACAAATAATGATACAACTAGATAGTAAGTGTATCACTACTCTTCATAGTATGCATTGTTGTATGACCGAATAACTCTTTCACGCGTCATTGGAACTACTATTTTTGTTTTCTATTTATATTACTAGAGATGGTAGAGTGTAAGACTTGAAATTCTACCATTGGTTGGAATAAAAG